GCCGTAGTTGCGCCCGCCGTTGCGCGCGCTGATGTTGTCCTGGTTGGAGGAGTGGCTGAGCGGGACCCCGACGCCCGTCATCGGGTGGCGGTAGTCGAGGTTGTTGTACTCCGCGACGTGGTGCCCGTACTCGTGGAAGACGACGTCCCAGTCCGCCCAGTCGTCGAACTGGAGGTTCATCTGGCTGAAGCCCATGTTCGTCGGGATGACGTTGGCGCCCTGGCTCATGTCGTAGCGGATCTGGATCGCCGGGAGCGTCGCGCCGTGCGCGCTCTCGAAGTAGCCGCTCATGTGGTCGAGCCCGTGGAGCACGCCGATCATGCGCCCGGTGTTCAGCGCGTTGGTGAAGGTCGACCCGCCGAGGTCGTTGACCTGGTTGTTGAACTCCGGCACGTTGAAGAAGGCCCCGGGCGGGACGCGCGACTGCCAGGTGCTCCCGAAGTTCGGACCCGCCGTGCCGACGCCGCCGTAGTCCGCCTGCACCTGCATGTACATCTCCAGATGCGTGCCGAAGTCGTTGTGGCTCGAGCCGATGCCCGTGCGCCCGGTGGCGGCGACGGTGCGGTTGCTCCCGAGCAGGTCGTCCGCGTCGTTCTCCGCGGCGTCGTTGCCGCCGTTGTGGGTGTCGTCGTCCCAGAACTGGACGTTGACGCCCGTCGACGAGCCGTTGCCGCCGAAGAGGTGGGTGTTGCCCGCCCGGTCGGTCCACCGGAAGACGCCGGAGTTGAGTTGGGTGAACATCGTCGCGCCGGCGAGCGCGTCGTGGCCGAGCCCGAGCGCGAGCCCGAGGCAGGTGAAAAGTCTGGCTGTGGTGCTGGTCGTCATCTGAATTCCTCTCCAAGTGATGCCCCGGATCCGCCCGTTCGCCCGTCTGCGCCGGGTCGTGATCCTGCTCCCTGTGGGGCGGAATCGGGGCCGCCCGCTCACGCGCCCGGGTGATCGAATATCCGGATGAAATCCAGAACTCGTGTGCTGGACAGGACTTAGCGGGGAGAAAAACCGGGTCGGTCTCGGCGGTCCGGGCCGGTTGTGCGGGGTGTGCCGGTCGTGACGATTGGCTCGATCGATCGCGGACGGCGCGCCGCCAGGCGGACGAAAATCGGACCTTTCGCTCCTCCCGGTGTCAGAAAACAACGACACAACCCTAGTAGGGGTGTCCCGATTCGGGCACTCGCGTCACGGACTCGGGGGCATCGAACCACCACGGAGATCAAGCGCTATGGACCGGAGAAGGATTCTGTTTCTGACGATGGGTGTCGGCGGCCTCGTCTGCATCGCCGGCGCGAGCCAGCTCGTGCCCAACCTCGCCTCGATCACCCCCGATCAGTCGCGCAGCCCCGTGCAGCGCGGCAAGCAGGCGGCCCCGGACGTCGCCCCGGGCGAGCGCGGCGCGACCCTCCCCGCCGTCTTCCCCAACGAGTTCCGGACCATCGACGGCACGTTCAACAACGGCGCCAACCCCACGTGGGGCGCGGCGGGCGTCCCGCTGTTCCGAATCGCCGACGCCGACTACGCCGACGGCTCCGGCTCGCCCTCGGGCGGCGACCGCAACAGCGCCCGCACCATCAGCACCGTGGTCTTCGACCAGGGCAACACCCTGATGGAGAACCCCTACAACTACACCGACTTCATGTGGCAGTGGGGCCAGTTCCTCGACCACGACATCGACGAGACGCCCGTCACCTCGCCGAACGAGGCGTTCGACATCCCCGTCCGCGCCCGCGACCCCTTCTTCGCCGGCAACGACATCCCCCTCGCGCGCTCCGCCTTCGTGATGATCAACGGCGTCCGCGAGCAGCTCAACAACATCACCGCGTTCATCGACGCGTCCAACGTCTACGGCTCGGACGACGCCCGCGCCGAGGCCCTCCGCACGCTCGACGGCTCCGGCAAGCTCAAGACCAGCGCCGGCGACCTGCTCCCGTTCAACACCGACGGCCTCCACAACGCCCCGACGGACAAGGACCCGTCCTTCTTCGTCGCCGGCGACATCCGCGCCAACGAGCAGGCCGGCCTCACCGCCATGCACACCCTCTTCGTCCGCGAGCACAACCGACTCGCCGACCTCATCGCGAGCGAGAACCCCTCGTTCACCGGCGACGAGATCTACGAGCACGCCCGCGCCTTCGTCGCCGCCGAGATGCAGGCGATCACCTTCAACGAGTTCCTCCCCAAGCTCCTCGGCCCCGGCGCCATCGCGCCGTACGCCGGCTACGACGAGACCGTCGACCCGGGCATCTCCAACGAGTTCGCCACCGCGGCGTACCGCGTCGGCCACACCATGCTCTCCTCGCAGATCATGCGCCTCGACGGCTCGAACGAGGAGATCCCCGCGGGCCACCTCTCGCTCGCCCAGGCCTTCTTCACCCCGTCGCTCACGTCCGACGAGGGCATCGAGCCGGTCCTCCGCGGGCTCGCCTTCAAGCGCGCCCAGAACGTGGACGCCGCCGTCGTCGGCGACATCCGCAACTTCCTCTTCGGCCCTCCCGGAGCCGGCGGCCTGGACCTCGCGGCGCTGAACATCCAGCGCGGGCGTGACCACGGCCTGGCCACCTTCAACGACATCCGCGAGGCCCTCGGCCTGCCGCGCTACACGGACTTCAACCAGATCGACCCGTCGCACCCGGTCACGGGCCGCAAGCTGAAGAAGGCGTACAAGACCGTCGACCAGATCGACGCGTGGGTCGGCCTGCTGGCCGAGCCGCACGCGGGCGGCGCGTTCGTGGGCGAGACCCTCCGCGCGATCCTCGCGGACCAGTTCACCCGCCTCCGCGACGGCGACCGCTTCTGGTACGAGTCGTACCTCCCGCAGTCGATGGTCGACGACGTCAACGCGATGACCCTCGCCGAGATCATCCGCGCCAACACCGCCATCGGCGGCGAGATCCAGGACGACGTCTTCGTGATCACCGCCGTCAGCCCCGCCGACGTCGCCGAGCCATTCGGCGAGGTCGACCGCAAGGACTTCCGCGCCTTCATGCGGGCGTTCCGTCGCGGCGACGCGCTCGCGGACTTCAACAATGACGGCGCCGTCACCGGCCAGGACGCGAGCGCCTTCGTCCAGGCCTACCGCCAGGATCAGACGAAAACGACGGCGACGAAGAGCGTGCTGAAGCGCTGAGTCGACCGATCTGAACCGTGAAAACACGAGGACCCCGGGGCCGCACAGCCCCCGGGGTTTTTTCGTGCGCTTCCGCTGGTTCAGATCGGGATATCGTCGTCGTCCCCGCCCTCTTCCCACCCGCCGGGCGTGATCGGGCCGTCGTAGTAGCCGCTCGGGCCGTTTTCGCTGTCCGCTTTGCGGAAGGCGCTGCCGGGGCCGCCGGATGGCTGGGGGGACGGGTTCGAATGGCCGCCGCCCTGCGAGCCGCCGCCGTACCCTCCGCCTCTGCCTCCACCTCCACCGTAGTGCGACGGGTTGGCGTAGTCGGTGAAGCGCATGTACTCGGCGCTCCACGAGAGCGGGACGACGTCCGTCGGGCCGTTGCGCTGCTTGGCGACGATGATCTCCGCCTTGCCGACCTGGTCCTCGTTCTCGGTGAGCCACTCGGTGTCGCCGCGGTGGTAGTAGTCCTCGCGGTGCAGGAGGAGGATGACGTCGGCGTCCTGCTCGAGCGAGCCCGATTCGCGGAGGTCGGCCATGCGCGGGCGGTGGCCCTCGCGCTGCTCGGCGCCGCGGTTGAGCTGCGCGAGGCAGACGACGGGGATGTCCAGCTCGCGCGCGAGCGCCTTCACGCCGCGCGAGATCGTCGCGACCTCGTTCTGCCGGCCCTCCTTCGAGGCGCCCGGCGCGGTCATGAGCTGGAGGTAGTCGATGAATACCGCCTTGATGCCGAACTGCGCCGCCATGCGCCGCGCCTTGGCGCGCAGCTGCAGGATCGTCATTCCAGGCGTGTCGTCGATGTAGATCGGGTACTGGCTCAGCTGCGAGCACGACTTCACCAGGCGGTCGAAGTCGCTCTTGTTGAGCAGGTTCTTCCGCATCTTGTTCGAGTCGATCCGCGCGTTCGAGCAGAGCAGGCGCTGCGTCACCGCCTGCTTGGACATTTCCATGGAGAAGAACGCGACCGGCGCCTTCTGATCGCCCCCCGCGTGGCGGTTGCCGAACGCGGCGATGTTCTCCGCGAGGTTCAGCGCGACCGCCGTCTTGCCCATCGACGGGCGGGCCGCGAGGATGATCATCTCGCCGTTCTGGAAGCCGCTCGTCAGGTCGTTCAGGTCGCGGTAGCCGGTGTCCAGGCCCGTGATCGTCCGCCCGGACTCGAAGTTCTTGTCCAGCACGTCCAGCGTCTGCTGGAGCAGCAGGCTCAGCTTCTCCGAATCCATCCCCTGCCCGGTCTCGACGACGTCGAAGATCTTCTGCTCCGCCTCGTCCAGCACCGCCGCGGCCCCGTCGTCGCCCATCTCGCCGGCGTGGTACGCCTTGTAGAGGATGTCCCCGGCCGCGTCGATGAGCTTGCGCAGGCGGAACTTCTCCGCGACGATCCGCCCGTAGTGGGGGGCGTTCACGGCGCTGGGCACGGCCGAGGCGAGCTCGTAGAGGTAGCTCGGCCCGCCGATGTCCTCGAGCACGCCCTTGTCCTTCAGCGCCTCGACGAGCTGCACGACGTCGCCCGAATCGTGCCGGTCGTAGAGGGAGACGAGGGCATCAAAGATCGCGGCGTGCGACTCGGCGTAGAACGCGTCGCCCGAGGGGATGAGCCCGATGACCTCCGAGATCACCCGGTGGTCCAGGATCATCGACCCGAGCAGCGACATCTCCGCCTCGTTGGAGTACGGCGGCATCCGGTCGAACAGCTTCTGGAGTTCCCGCCCCGCAACGGCCTTCCCGCGCCCTCCGGCCCCCCCGCGCCCCTTCCCACCGTCAGGGAAGCCCTTTTTGAACTCGAATTGGCTCTGGTCGATCGCGGACATCCGTGTCAAGACTAAGCATATCCCCCACGCGTCCGATCGCACCGACAAACTGTCCACATGGGGCGGATTCGTCCTACCCTCTTGCCATGACGTTCCAGCCCAACGACCCCGGAATGAGCGACCTGTTCACCGTCCGCACCCTGCTGCCGGACCCGCTGCCGGCGGAGCCCTTCGCGATGCTGAACGCCTGGATGAGCGAGGCCCGGGCCGAGGCCCGCCAGCCGAACACCAACGCGATGACCCTGTGCACGATCGACGCCGACGGCACGCCCAGCGCCCGCGTCGTGCTCTGCCGGGGCGTGGACGAGGGGCGCGGGGTGCTCACGTTCTACACCAACCGCACGAGCCGCAAGGGCCGGGCGATGGCGTCGAACCCGCGCGTCGCGCTGGTCTTCCACTGGGACCACTTCGACCGCCAGATTCGCGTCGAGGGGCGCGTCGTCGAGGCGTCCGACGCGACGTCCGACGCGTACTTCGAATCGCGCAGCTTCGCGAAACGCCTCGGCGCGTGGTCGAGCGACCAGTCGGCGCCGATCGAGTCGCGGAGCGAGCTCATCGGCAAGATCGAGAAGGTGTGCGAGCGCTTCGGCGTCGACCCGAAGAACCCGCCGAGCGAGGAGGCGAGCCGGGGCGTGATCCCCCGCCCGCCGCACTGGGGCGGGTACCACGTCTTCGCGCAGGCGGTGGAGATCTGGGCGGGCGAGGGCGGCCGCATCCACGACCGCGCGGTGTGGCGACGGAGCCTCACGCCGAAGCAGAACGCGGATCCGATGCAGGCGTTCGACGCCGGCGCGTGGAGCGCGACGCGGCTCCAGCCATAACAACCGCGACAGTCATGGAGCGGATCCGCTGAAGCGCATGGACGAAGCAATTCAAAGCCGCTGAAACACTGCGGTGTGCGGCGACGCATGCGCCCAAAGAGGATCGCGGCTCCGCCGCGTTCATTTGAATGGACGCCGGGTATCGCAGTGCTTCATCGTTCTTGAATCTGTATGTCCGGACGCTTCAGCGGATCCGCTCCGTGACTGTCGCGGTTGCTACGGAGCCGTCTTGTCCAGGAACCGCTCCACCACCGCGTCCCCGACCCCGATCCCCCCGACGACCACCTCCCCCGTGTACTGCTTCGACTGCTCGCGGAGGTAGCCGCGTTTCATCGCGACGAACGTCACCGTCGCGTCCGCGCGGACGACGACCTTGCTGAGCGGCAATCCGGTGTCGGCGTCGAGGCCGCTCGGGACATCCACCGAGAGCACCATCGTGCCGGCCTCGTGGAGGACGTTGATCAGCTCGACCGCCTCGGCCGCGTCGCCCTCGATGGGTCGCGTGAGCCCGGTGCCGAACAGGGCGTCGACGACGAGGGTGTGCGAGCCGAACATGGGCTCGCTCGCGACGGGGATGTTCATCTGGCGCGCGATGAGGAGATTCGTGCGCGCGTCGGGCGGGAGGGCGGATTCCTCGCCGATGAGCGCGCACGCGCACTTCACGCCCCGGTTCGCGAGCCGGCGCGCCAGCGCGAAGCCGTCGCCCCCGTTGTTGCCCGCGCCGCAGAACATCAGCGCGGTCGGCTGGACGTACCCCTCGAGCATCCACATCGCCTGCGTCTCGAGCGCCATCGCGGCGTTCTCCATCAGGACGATCCCCGGGATCCCCAGCTCGTTGACGGCGCACTCGTCGACCTTGCGGGCGTTGGCGCGGGAAATCGTTCGGGGGGTGGTGGAGGGGGTGGTCATGCGGGCGGTGTCCGTGGGCATGGGATACCGTATCCCACCCGATGCCCCTCGTCCTCGCCATCCCGCTCATCGCGATCGCCGTGCTCGCCGGCGCGTGCGGCGCGTACTACGCCGTCGTGGCGTACCGCGTGCACGTCTCGAACCGGACGATCCCGACGGCGCGACGCGGATTGTCCCTCCCCGAGCCGGAGGGCGGCTGGCCGAGCGTCTGCGTCGTCATCCCGGCGCACAACGAGGCGGACGTCATCGAGCACTCGGCCCACTCGCTGAAATCGGTCGATTACCCGAACCTCCGCGTTGTCTACGCCTGCGACCGGTGCACGGACGAGACCGAGCGCATCCTGCGCGACATCGTCGGCGGCGACGAGCGCTTCACGGTCCACACCATCACCGAGTGCCCGGACGACTGGGCGGGCAAAACCAACGCCATCTGGCGCGCCGTGAACGACACCGACGCCTCGCGCGACGCGGACATGCTCCTGTTCACCGACGCGGACACGGAGTTCGACCCGATGCTCGTCCGCGCGACCGTCGCCCTGCAGCGCGAACGTGGCGTCGGGATGCTCTCGCTCCTCTCCACGCTCACGTTCGGCACCGCGTTCGAGCGCGTCGACCAGCCGGCCGCGGGGTTCGAGCTGATCCGCCAGTTCCCCCTCGACCAGGTGAACGACCCGGGGCAGAAGCCGCGCCACTTCGCGAACGGGCAGTTCATGCTTTTCACGCGCGAGGCGTACGAGGCGGTGGGGGGGCACGAGGGCGTGAAGGACGCGCTGCTCGAGGACCTCGCCTTCGCCGTGAAGCTCGCGCCGATCCACTCCGGCCACCGCGTGGGCGTCCACCTGGCGGACGGCCTGCTCACCTGCCGCATGTACCGCTCGCCCGAGGCGTTCCGCAAAGGGTGGAAGCGGATCTACACCGAGGCGGCGAAGCGCAAGCCGGACCGCCTGCGCACGCTCGCGACGCGCCTGGTGATGACGGGCGTCGTGTTCCCGTTCGTCTCGCACGTGGCGATCGTCGCGGGGCTGGTCGTGCTGCTGTATGACACGCCGCTCGCTTTGGCGCTGCTCGCCACCGGCCTCGGCTCGCTCGCGATGATGTGGCTCGGGCTCTCGATGGTCTACCGCGCGCAGGGCGCGCCGCTCTGGCTCATCCCGACGTACCCGCTCGGCGCGTGGAACACCGCGTCCATCCTGCGCGAAGCGGCGAGCGATCTCACGGCAGGCGTCCAGACCGAGTGGGGCGGGCGGAAGTACACACGAGAGGTGCGAACCTGATGGCCCGCGCGACACCCCCCAAACGCCACCGCGGCACCCCCGAGCTGACCGTCTACGGCCGGCGCGCCGTCCTCGAGGCCATCGCGCACGCGAACGTCGAGACGCTCGAGGTCCGCGTCGCGAAGGAGACGCCGCAGGATTTTCGCAACGAGCTGCGCGCGGCCGTGGCGCAGAGCAGGAACACCGATCTGGAACTGAGCGTCGTGACCTTCCAGCAGGTCTTCGAGCTGAGCCACGACAAGCGCAACGACCAGGGCGTCGTCGCACGGATCCGGCTCGGCAACCTGACGGACCTCGACGGCATCGCCGCGCTGGGCAAGGGCCAGAGCGCGCGCACGCCCACGCGCGTGCTCGCGCTGGACGGCCTGACAAACCCGCAGAACATCGGCATGACCGTCCGCAGCGCGACCGCCGCGGGGTTCGACGCGGTCCTCTGGCCCACCGGGGGCGTCCCCTGGATCAACGGTCTGATCATCAAGGCGAGCGCCTCGACGATCTACTCGGTGCCCATCGGCGTGTGCGACACGCTCGAGGCGGCGCTGCCCGAGCTGCAGCGCCAGGGCTTCGAGGTCGCCGCGCTGGACATGGCGGGCACGGCCTCCGTGTTCGAATACGCCCCGCCGCACCGCCTTGTCGCGGTGATCGGCGCGGAGACCGAGGGCATCGCCCCCTCGACGCGCGACCTCGCGGACACGCTCCTGCGCATCCCGATCTCGGACCGCGTCGAATCCCTCAACGCGGCGGTGGCGGCGAGTGTGATGTGCTTTTGTCTAGGCATCAGCCATCAGCCACCAGGCATCAGTGAGAAGAGATCCTGACGAGTTCGCAAGCGCCTTTCACCCATTGCCCATTGCCCATTGGCCATTGGCCACTGGCCATTCCCCTCTCCGCTACCCTATCCCCCCCATGAAGATCCTCCTCACCAACGACGACGGCATCCGCGCCCCGGGCATCCGGGCGCTGTACGAGGCCGTGGCGGACCCCGACAACCGCTTCGGCGGGCCCATCTGCGAGCAGTGGATGATGGTCGCCCCGCTCACGACGCAGTCCGCGTCCAGCCACGGCATCACCTACTCAGCGCCGCTCATGGTCACCGAGGAGCAGCTCGACATCGAGCTGGCCGGCCTCGCGGTCGACGGCCGCCCCGCCGACTGCACCAAGCTCGCGCTCACCGCGCTGTGGCCCGACCGTTTCGGCAAGGGCGACCTGCCGGACCTCGTGATCTCCGGCATCAACGCCGGGGCGAACATCGGGATCAACGTCCTGTACTCCGGCACGGTGGCCGCGGCCATCGAGGCGGCCTTCCTGGGCGTCCCCGCGATCGCGCTCTCGCTCCACCTCTCGAAGCACAAGACCAACTGGCAGACGGCGGCGCGCCTGGCGCGCCACGCGCTGGACGAGATCCTCGACCACGGCATCGGCCCCGGGAGCGGCATCTCGCCGCACGACTGCATCAACGTCAACCTCCCGCTCTGCACGGACGAGGCGATCGACCCCCCGACGCCCGAGACGCCCGAGCTGGTGGTGTGCCCGATGAACACGCACGCGCTGAACGACGAGTACGACGCGCGGACGTCACCGATGGGCGGGACGTACTACTGGGCCTCCGGCCACGGCCTGGACTTCCGCGGCGCCGACGAGGGCACGGACGTGAAGGCGATCATGCGCCGCCAGATCAGCGTCACCCCGCTCATGTTCGACCTGACGAACAAGTCGCAGCTCGACGCGTGGCGGGCGAGGCTGGGCAAATAGCAACCGCGACAGTCATGGAGCGGACGCGCTGGAGCGTCCGGACAGACAAATTCAAGAACGATGAATCACGGCGATGCCCGTCGTCCATTCAAATGAACGCGGCGGCGCCGCGATCCATTTTGAGCGCAAGCGTTGCCGGATGCCGCCGTGTCTCAGCGGTCTTGACTTTGGAATTCAATGCGATTCAGCGGATCCGCTCCATGACTGTCGCGGTTGCTATCGAGCGCGCGAGCGAAACAACCGCGCCCGTGAGGAAGCGGATCTCAAATGCCGCGGCGGAGCCGGCTGAGCGTCGATCTGTACGCTGGAAACAACCGCGCCCGTGAGGAAGCGGGCCTCAATAGCCGCGGCGGAGCCGCCTCATTTAACAAGAGCGGGCGTCTTCGGAAAAAGACGCGCCGCTCGGGGGGGAGAGAGAGCTTGGTTGTGGCGTCGGTCGGACGCACCCTCCTTCCTCCGTGAGGGTGCGCCGACGTGTTCGCCGGGGGGTCCGGGGGGGTCAGGACAGGAGTGCCCGGACTTCCTCGATGTGCTCAGGGATCACCTCTCTGATCTTGGCGAGCCCATCGGGGGTGAGTTTCAAAGCTTCGAGCACGGCCTCGTCGACGTCCGTCGACTGCACGTCCAGGCGGAAGCCGCCCTCTTCGAAGCCAGCGGTGATCTTGTCGGCGACGTGCACGAGCAGCGGCAGCGTCCGCACCTCGGCGTCCACGTCGAGCGGGTTGTGGTGGCTGCCCGCGACGAGCCCGAAGACCCGCGGGAACTTCCACTTCTCGCACAGCGCCTGGCCGAACTGCTGGTGGTCGGCGCCGAAGTTCTCTCGCTCGAGCTCGAGCATGTCACGCGTCGGGACGCCGTCGGCGCCGGCGACGGCGGAGACGGTGCTCGTCAGCGCGTCGCGGTCCGCCTGCATCTCCACAATGATCCCGATGTCGTGCATCAGGCCCGCGAGGAACGCCTCGTCCGGGCAGCTCAGGCCCAGCTCGTCGGCGAGCAGCTTGCTCGTCGCGGCGTTCGCGGTCGAGTGCGTCCACAGGTCCTTCGCGTTGAAGGCCGGGCAGAGCTTGCCCCCGCGGAACAGCTTGGCGAGCGACGCGGAGATCGCGATGTTCTTCACGGCGTTGAGCCCGAGGAGGACGATCGCGCGGTTGATGGACCCGATCTGCCCGGGCAGGCCGTAGAACGAGGAGTTCACGACCTTGAGCACGCGGGAGCACAGCGCGGGGTCGTACTCGACGACCTTGTGCAGGTCCTGCGCGGTGGCGTTGGGGTCCTCGACCAGCTCGATGATCTTGAGCGTGATCTCGGGGAGCGTCGCGATGTGCCCGATCTTCTGGATCGCGCCCGCGACGACTTTGGACGTTTCGGTGGTTTCCGTGCTCATGCGCGTGGCTCTCCCGAGTCTCTCGCCCGTGGAATCTCAGAACGTGTTGTGGGTATCGGCCCTCCGGGATCGCGACTTCGGGAGCGTTTGAGGACACACCGATATTTTCTTGGACCGCCCGAGAAAGGGGGCCGGCGCGTTTCAGTACGCGTTGCGCTTCCGGAGCCAGGGCCGATCGTCGAAATCGACCGTCGCGAGCAGCTCCGCGACGCGCTCGCCGGTCCGGCCGTCCCCATAGGGATGCTCGATCGCCGCCCCGCTCAGCGCCCGGGCACGATCGAACGCGTCCCGGATAACCGAGCCGGACGCGCCGTCCGCGTGCACCACGTTCCCCGCTCGCTCGCGCCCCGCCTGCCGGTCGCCCAGGTCGACGACGCCCAGCCCGATCGACGCGCACTCGATGAGCCCGGCCGAGGAGTTGCCCACGAGCGCCCCGCCGTCGCGCGCGAGCCGCTTGAGCGTCGCGACGAACGCCGGGCGCTCGAGGTGCTCCGCCTTCGAGAATGCTTCGTTGGCGGCGCACGCCTCGTCGATCGCGCGGACGATCCCGGCGCGCCCGGCGTCACGGTTCGGCGCCATGCAGAGCACGCGCAGGCCGTGGAGCGCTCCGAGCACGCGCCTGGCGAACTCATACTCGGACTCGTCGTCACGCCCGATCGGGTGGAGCATGAAGACGGCATCGATCGTCTCGCCGGTCTCGTCCGCGGGGATGGCGTCGAGCCCGTCGATCGCAGGCGAGCCGACGGTGCGGACGCGCCACTCGTCCTCGCCCATCTTCCGGATTCGCTCGGCGCTGCCCTCGGTCGCGGGGAGGTGCAGGTGCGCGAGCTTCGTGATCGCGTGGCGCATCGCCTCGTCCGCGACGCCCTCGGCCCGGTCGCCGCCGTGCAAGTGCGCGCAGAGCACGCCGCCCACGCTTGCCGCCGACGCCCCCGCGAAGGCTTCGATGCGGTCGCCCAGCACGAGCAGGACCTCCGGCTCGATCGAATCGATCACGTCCGCCAGACCCGCGATCCCGCGCCCGAGCGCCCGCGCGTCGTCGAGGCGGCCGGATTCGTCCGCTTTCTGCATGGGCACGCGCCGCACGCGGGCGCACTCCCGCTCGACCTCCTCGATGGTCATCGCCGGCGGCAGCAGGTGCGTCCCGGTCGCGAGAATATGCGTCTCCAGATCGGTCCGCGCGTCGCAGGCGCGGATGACGGTACGGAGCAGCCCGTACTCCGCCCGCGTGCCCGTCACGATGGCGATCCGACGCGCCGTCACGACAGGTCCTCATCCACAACGGGCACGTCCGGCGCGATGTCGCGCGCCGCTTTGCGACCAATCATCGACTCGATCCGCCACGGCTCGATGCCCGTGCCGGGACGCTTGATGGTGAGCATGTCCCGCGTGATCGTCGCGCCCTTCGCGATGGCGGCGCTCGTCACGACCGACTGGCGCGAGACGCGCCGGACGTCGCCCTCGATCTCGCGAACGGCCTTGCCGCATCTCATCATCTCCGCGGCCGCGCGCGCCAGGCGGGTGTACTCGCGGAAATCGTCCGGGTCGAGCGAGGCCGCGTGATCCGGCCCCGTCGCGGAGGTGTCGTGGGTGACGTGCTTCTCGAGGAGCAGCGCCCCGGCGCCGACGGCGATCGCGCCGGTGTGCACGTCCGGCGTGTGATCGGAGTAGCCGACCGGACCCCTTGTGCGGCGCGCGATGTCTCCGATGCCCGCGAGGCACGCGTTCGGCCCGTCCGCGGGGTACGAACTGACGCATTGCAGGAACGCGAGCCGGTCGTGCGCGTGGCCCAACCAGCCGATGGCCCGCTCGACCTCGTCGATCGTCGCGGCCCCGGTGCTCACGATCATCGGCCGCCCGTCGCCCGCGATCGCGTCGAGAAGCGGCCGGTTGATCACGTCCGGCGAGGCCGTCTTGAAAGCGTCCCACGCGAGAGGCCTCATCAGCTCGAGATCGTGGAGCGTGAAAGGCGTGACGATGGCGTGGATCTCCCGCTCGTGCGCCCGCTCGACGCACTCGGCCAGCTCGTCCGCGCCGAGCTGCAGGCGTTCGAGCATCGCCAGCGCGTCGGACTCGCCCGCGTCCTTCTGGTAGCCGGCGAGCTCGCAGGCCGATGACATGAGTTCGCGCGCAGTAAACGACTGGAACTTCACCGCGTCCGCCCCGGCGTCCGCGCACGCGTCGATGAGCTCGCACGCGCGGGCGACGGATCCGTCGTGGTTCACGCCGATCTCCGCGATGACGTACACGAGGCCGACGCCGATCTCTCGCTCGCCGATCCTCACCGCGCCACCCCGGTGCGCCGGCGGAGGACCGCGTCCGCGACGATCAAATCGATCTCCGAGTCGATGTCGATCACCTCGCCCTCGCCCGTGATCACGCCGGCGCGCTTCGCACCCAGAAAATCGTGCGGACCCTCGCAAGGGCCGAAGAGCGCGGAACGACGCACGACCGTCACCCCGCCGTCCGGCACGTGCGCGGGCGGGAGGTCCTGGCGGCGGAACGTGTTGTGGAAGAGCGTGTCGCCCTGCCACGGCCGGACCGCGCCGTCCTCGCCGACGACGCACGTCCACCACGGGTGGTGCTTGCCGACCGGCGAGTAGCTCTGCACGGAATCCGCGCCGGTCTCGAACAACCGAGCCGCGGCACGGTCGAGCAGGCCAGCGGGCCGCACGGGCACGTTGGCGTACAGCAGCGCAACAACCGAGAAACGCCCCTCCGGATCGAATCGAGCGACCGCGTCGCGGAGCGCATCGTCGACGCGCGCCGTCGAGTTCGCGAGCGAAGCGGGCCGGTCGATCGTCTCCGTCCCCATCTCCCGGGCGAGCGCCGCGAGGGATTCGTCGTCCGTTGAGACGAGCACGGCGTTCGTCCGCTCGCTCGCGAGCGCGAAGTCGATCGTCCAGGTAGCGCAGGGCCGCCCCGCGACGTCGCGCATGTTCTTGCCGGGTACCCCCTTGCTCCCGGCGCGCCCGATGATCACCGTCAGCACACGCTCGCTCATCGTGTCACCACATCGTCGGGGCCGCGGCAGGGGAAGGACGACCGCGCATCGATCAGCTTCGCGTGCAGATCGGCGACGGAATCCGTGCGCAAGTTGCCGACGATCTCGCCCGACGGGTCGCGCTCGTTGATCGGCACAGCCCCGTCGTAGCGCACGAACACCGAGATTTCGCGGTCGCGCATCTCAGCATGAACGGGCTTGCCGAGCGGCTCGATGCGCGCGCCGTCAATCGGCGAGGGGAGCGGGTCGATCACCGGGTGCCCGCCCACGAAGAGCCAGCCGTCGTAGAACCGCTCGATCTCCGCGTACACCTCGTCGCGCCGCGTGATCCGCGGGACGATCCACACGTCCGGCACGCCGTGCGTCCGCGTGCGGTTGTGGATGAGCCATTCCGTGTTGTGCACGACGCGGTCGAAGCTCTCGCGACCTCGGAGCAGCCGGTACGTCTCCTCCTCGGACGCGCCGATGTCGACGCTCACAACGTCCACGCCGGATTCCAGCAGCGCGCGCAGTTCCTCGTCGCGCTCGGTGAGCAGGTCGGTCCGGACATGCACCGCGCCGATGCCGCGGGACTTCGCGTGGCGGACGAGATCGAAGACCTGCCCGTGGTCCATCGGGTCGCCGCCGCCCGCGAAGCTCAGCGCGACGGGTCGGGACGCGGGGTCGAGTGAATCGATCGCCGAGCGGGCGAGCGATTCGTCCATTGACGCGCCGCCTTCGCCGACGAGCTCGAGCGTGAGATGCAAAGGGTCGCGTCCGAACGCCGTGCGCCGGGTCTCGCCCCGACGCTGCGCGAGGTCGACGCCGACGCACCACGAGCGCGTGACCGGATCCGTCATCGCGCGCACCGGGTTGTAGCCGAGTGTCGCGCCGACGAGCCCGCCGGAATCGCCGCTCTGGCGCAGCTCGAGCAGGCGCCCGGCGTGGTCTCTCGAAATCACGACGCCCGCGAGCCCGACGTCCGCGGGCGTGAAGACGAAGCCGTGCGCGGCGGGGCTCTCGAGGTGGCGCGCGATCACGCTGTCGCAGAGCCCCGTGTCCAGCTCGTCCCAGTCGCCGCCGACGAACAGCGCGTTCGACGCGCCGAGCGCCTCGAAGGCCGCGAGGGCGTGCTCGGGGTGGACGATCTCGTCGAACGCGGAGACCGAGCCGATCCCCCCCCGCCAGCACGATGAGGCAAAAAGCCGCGAGCTGCGCAGGCCGCGGGGGATCTCGAGGCTCTCGATCGGCACGAGCGTGACGCCCGGATCGTTCCCGATGGTCTCCCGCGCCCGCTCGGCGTCGTCCGTGAGCACCGCGATGCCCGAGACGCGTTCGCACGTGGCGAGCCGTTCGATCGTCCGGCGCAGCGCCTCCAAGGCGGAGTCACGCGTCGTGCCGAGCACACCCACGCGCACCGGCGCGAAGATCACGGCCGGGAGCGTCCCTCGACGCTCGCGGAGGACGCCGGCCTTCTCATCGAGCGGGAGGTCGCGGGTGAGCCTGGGGCCGCCACGGGTCGCCTCGGCCGCGGTCTCGAGGAGCATCGCGACGTACTCGCCGACCTCGCCGATCCAGCCGACGTTGGCGATGTCGCGCTCGACGCGCCGGGCGTGCTCTTCGAGCTCGCTCAGGCCCTCCGCGAGGCGCAGGCGGCGGTCGGCGCGGAATCGCTTGAACATCGCCGTCTGGCTCAGCTGCTGGACGGTCGCCATCGCGGTCTCGGGTCGCTGGGCCTTGTCCCGCAGAACGTGGACCTTGTCGACGAGCGCGTTGATGGCGTCGCGGTCCTCGCCCAGGTCCTTCATCTGTTCGAGCAGCTCGACGGTCTGTTCCGAGTACGCGCTGATGCGCTCGCACTCGCGCGCGAGCTTGCGCAGGCGGTCGCGGACCTTCGAGAGGGTTGTCTCGTCGTTGCTGGCGACCGGCTCGGGGAAGCGGATCGGCTCGCCGCTCGCTGGAGCGAACTCTCCGAGCGTCTCGGCGAGCGTCCGGATCTCCGTGTGCGCCTTGCAGACGCCGCCCTCGGTCGCGTCGATGATCGTGAGCCCGCGCTCCGTGTCCTCGAGGAAGTCCGTCTCGAACTGCGCGAGGTACGTCGCCATCTGCTCGTCGGTGAAGACGGGGCGGCCCAGGTGGTCCTCCAGCTTCTGGAGGTGCCCGCGGAAGCGGACGATGCGCTGCCACTCCATCATCTCGAGCGTGTTGAACGGGTTGAGCTCGCACCCCCACGTCTCGTGGATGGACGCGCCCTTCGCGTAGTACTGCCCGTCGGTGAACGCGAGGTCCTGCCCGATGAGCGCCACGGGGTCGCACCCCAGGTGGCGCGCGACGTAGTACGCCAGGTGCGCGACCGTCGCGCCAGCCTTGAGCCGGTCGCGATCGCCGACGAGCCTGTCCCCCAGTGTCCGGTCGAGGAACGCGTCGCCCACGACGCGCACCGCGCCGGGCCACGCCTCCAGGATCGCGGCGTTCGCCTTCGGCTCGACGATGAGCGTCACGCCCCCGACGTCCTCCGCCGTGAGCCCCTCGTAGAACCGGCGGCTCACCTCGTGGTAGTCCAGCGCCGTGATGAAGTGCGGCTTGATGCCCTTCGCGAGCATCGGCTTGAGCACCGTCTGCACCGCGACGATGGCGCACCGCTCGCGGACGCCCGGCTCGCCCAGCAGATCGAGATTTCGCTTCAGACTGGGCCCCGCGCTGACGACGACGCCGAGCCGCCCCTTCGCGCTGTCACGCAGCGCGTCGATCCCCTCGCACGTCGCGTAGCGGTCCGCGTTCATCAGCTGGTTGCGCGCCGTGACGTCGCACTGCATGAGCGTCGTCGAGATGAGCGTCCGCGTCGCGCTCACGCACTTCACGAACGACCGCGTGAACGCCTTGGAGGCCTCACCCAGCCGCTCCACGCTCGGCGGGTGGTGCGCGTACTCGGTGCCCAGGGAGATGAACGCCTCCGCGCCGCGGAGCGATGTCCCGAGCGTCGCGCCGTCCTCCGCGTCCGTCGCGAGCACGACCATGCCGGTCGCGAGCGTCGAGCTGAGGTCGACCCGCTCGAGCACCGTGCGCAGGAGCCGCAGGTCCGGCTCGAAGACGACGATCACCAGGTCCGTCCCCCCGCGCTCCGCCAGCGCCGCGACGTGGTGGCCGAGCCCGAACCCGAAGACGCACACGCAGCCGTGGTTCTCGATATCCACGCCCTCGGCGAAGCGGCGGGCTTCGTCGAGCGGGCGTCGCCGGCTCGCGAGCCAGCGTGATCCGAGCTTCGCGCTCAGGGCCCCGTCGTCGCACTCGTGCCACCGGATGTCGGGGTGCGGCTCGGCCTCCGCGATTGCGCGGGCCGCGCGGGGGTTCCGGGCGCCGAGCACGGCCAGGTTCGCGCCGAGCACCTCGCTCTCGACCGTGATCTTCATCGACGCCGTGCCCGTCATGCGGCCCTTTCGATCGGTCGCGGCGCGCGCAGCCACCGCGTGGAAGTCCGTTCCGTTGGGCGAAACATCGACACGATCACCCCCTCACCTGCAACAATGCGGGGGTTCGACGCGTACACCACCGCAGGGACCACCCATGACCAACACCCTCGCCGTGCAGCCCTTCCCGCCGAGCCTCCCCGGCCCGGGTTTCCTGCAGTTCCTCTTCCTCGAGAAGCCCGAGGTCTTCCTCATCCTCCAGCTCATCGCGGGGCTCGTGATCCTCTGGCAGATCAACCAGCGCGGGGCGCTCAAGCGGCTCTGGTTCCTCCCGCTGATCTGCGTCGCGCTCGGCGCGGCGGTGTACGCCTACGGGAGCTCCGTCGAGACCACCCGCGAGCTGCTCGTGCGCCAGACGACCGAATTCGTCGACGCGATGGTCGCGCAGGACGAGTCTCGGGTCGCCGAACTCGTGGACGAGCGCCTCGTCATCGAGAAGGTGTACCTGGCGGACGACTACGACGACCTCATCGCCGCGATGCGCAACCCGTACATCCGCGATATCGAGGACTACTCGGTCAACGTCCGCGGCGGCGTGAAGGACAACGACAACGCGGGCCGCACGCAGGCGTCGGTGAGCGCGAGCCTGAAGACGACGGGCCGCCCGGCCTCGCCGCCGATCTTCCTGTTCAACTGGCAGCGCGCCCCGGACGGCACGTGGAAGCTCGTGACGCTCACGATGCAGCGGCCGCCGATCGGCTAGCCCCGCTTACCCGTACCGCCCCAGCGCCCCGCGGCTCGAACGCATCGCCACGAGCCTGGGCTGGAGGTTCCGGCCCGGGCAGGCCGTCGCGGCCATTTCCCGGTGGGTGCGGACCTCGCGGAGGGGGATGTTGTACTTCCGCATCAGCTCCGCGACGGAGGTCTCGACGGAGGCGAGCTGGGCGCTGTTGGGCTGCTGCTGCTCGAAATTGCCCATCACGCAGATGCCGATGTTGCCCTGGTTCTGCCCGCCGACGTGGGCGCCCTGCCACTCGAGGGGGCGGCCCTCCCAGACGCGGCCGGAGGGGTCGATCAGGTAGTGGTACCCCACGTCCCCCCAGTTCTGCCCGCGGTGCGCGCGTCGGATGGCCTCGACGCGCGACGCCCCGGCCGCGCGGGACGTGCTCGTGAACGAATTCATCCCGTCGTGGTGGATGGTGATCTTGTCGATCGGCAGCATGCGGTTCATGAGGCTCGGCTCGACGCCGCCGCCGGCCCAGTTGGAACGCGGGATCGCCCCGGAGACGCCGCCGTGGTTCGTCCAGGTCGTCGGCCCGCCGTATTTCTGGCGGTACGGCTCGACGGTGATCGGCTCGCGGAGACGGGCGCGCTCCTCGGGGGTGAGGAGCGTGAACCTGGACGATTTCTGGCTCGCGCAGGCGGTCAACGCCAGGCCCGCGGCGCCGGCGCTCGCGAGCTGGATGGCGCGACGCAGCGCCTCGCGCCGGGTCAGGGCGACGTGGTCTTCGGATCTCTCGGGCATATTCGTCTCCACACCGAATTCATCGGCAGGCACGCGTGGCGAACGTGAGTCTCAACTGTAGCACCGCTCGCCCGCCGCGCCGCGGGCGAAATGCGGATACGCTCACATCCGATATGGACGCGCCGCACGCGACATCCCGTCCGCCTTTGCCGCAGACGCTCCCCGAATTCGGCGCGACGGCCGGCCCCGAACACGCCATCTTCACGCTCTACGCGGACGCCGACGCCGTCCGCGTCCGCCTCATCCACCCCGGCACACGATCGCTTGTGGTCCGCGATCTCGACGCGCCCGACCACCCCCGCATCTGGCACGTCCGCATCCCGGGCGACTTCCGCGGATGGACGTACACCTTCGAGCTCACCCGGGGCGAGCACCTGCAGGCGGGCGTGCTCGACCCGCACGCCTCGCTCATCTCGGGCGAGCGGTGCGTGCTCACCGACGACGCGACGCCCGTCGCGGACCCGCCGCCGCTCGACGTCTCCGAGGCGGTCATCTACGAGCTGCACGTCCGCGATTTCACCAACCACCCCACCTCCGGCGTCCGCCCCGAGTGGCGCGGGACGTACCTGGGCCTCACCGAGCGCGGGACCGGCGTCCCCGCGGAGTGGGGGGGCGACCTCTCCACCGGCCTCGACCACCTCCGCGAACTGGGCGTCACCGTCGTCCAGCTCATGCCGGTGCACGCCTTCGCCTACGTCCACCACAACCGCTACGACTGGGGCTACATGCCCGACATCTTCACCTCGCCCCACGAGCCGTACGCCGCGTCGACCGACCTGCAGGCGCCGGTGCGCGAGTTCCGGCAGCTGGTGAGCGCGATCCACGAGGCGGGGATGCGGGTGACGATCGACATGGTGCTCAACCACACCTGCGAGCAGTGGCCCATGCGCCGCCGCTCGCTCATGTGCCTCGCGCCGAAGGACTACTTCCGGTTCGACCACGAGGGCCAGCCGTCCAACGGCTCGGGGTGCGGCAACGAGCTCGCGAGCGAGCACCCGGTGACGCGCGACCTCATCGTCCGCGCGTGCGAGCGCTGGGTGCGCGACTACGGCGTCGACGGCTTCCGTTTCGACCTGCTCGGGCTCATGGACCTGGAGACGATCGACCGCCTCGCGGAGCGCGTCCGCGCGCACCGGTCCGACGCCCTGCTCTACGGCGAGCCCTGGGCGGGCGGCCCGACGAGCGTCCGCATCACCCACAAGGGCGACCAGCGCGGACGCGGCTTCGCCGTCTTCAACGACGAGTTCCGAGACGCCGGACGCGGGCAGGTGTTCCACGCGGATTCCAAGGGCTTCATCACCCACGGCCACCACACGCACGAGATCAAGCGAGCGGTGCGCGGGAGCGTGGGCAGCTTCGCGGACTCGCCGATGGAATCGATCAACTACCTCGAGGCGCACGACAACCACACCCTGGCCGACCGCGTCGCGCTGCTCATCCCGAAGGAGCAGGGCAAGGAGCGGCTGAGCGCGCTGATGCTCGGCGCGTACTACGTGCTCACGAGCGCGGGGATCCCCTTCCTGCACGCCGGGCAGGAGTTCGCGCGCCGCCAGGCGGGCATCGACAACGCCTACGACCGTGCCGACGCGATCAACAACGTCGACTGGTCGCTCAAGCAGACGCGGACCGACCTGGTCGACCTCTACCGCACGCTCATCGCCCTGCGGCTCGACCACCCGATCCTGAGGCTGGCGACACGCGAGCACGCGAACGACTGCGTCCGCTTCCTCGACGACGACCTGAACCTCAAGCTCCCCGAGCACGTCGTCGCGTGGGAAGTGACCAACCCGGGGCTGACCGACACGTGGGCGCGGTGCTGCGTGATCCTGAACGCCTCACGCGAGACGCACACGATCCCGCTCCCGGACCGCGGCACAGACTGGCGGGTGAGCATCATCGGCTTCCACGCCGAGGACGGCTCGCGGACGACGGACAACGCGCTGGAGGTGCCGGGGATGAGCGGGGCGATCGCTTTTCAGCCGCAGGGCTGAAGCTGGACCTGGTCAGCCGGCGGGCTGACGCGCAAAGCTCAGGACCTCCCCCGTCTCGAGCGGCGGGATGTCCGACGAGCTCGGGTCGTAATCGTCTACCACGTGCGTGACGCGCATCTTCCCGCGCACCTCGTCGGGCAGCTGGTTGAGCAGTTCGATGTGCGTGTGCGCCGGGCCGATGTTCGCCTCGTGCACGATGACGTCCGAATCCGAGAGCCAGTCGATGTGGTCCTGGTCGAAGACCGTGTCGCCCGACCAGCCGAGCCGCCACGATTCGTCGCGCACCTTGAGCCCGATCGTCGGCACCGGGTGGATCGTGTGGCGGCACTCCACCTCGAGCCCCGCGATGGTGGCGGGCTTGCCCGGCTCGAGGATGTTGAGGTGGAAAAAATCCTCGAGGCGCGAGTTGCGCCCGCCCGCGGTGAGCGGCGCGTCCATCGCCGGCGCGAGCCGCGCCCAGAGCCGGTCGGCCGCGCGCCGGTGCGTGTGGATCGTCGGCTTGATGTCCGTCAGACCCTTCAGCCGCATCACGAGCCACGAGAACCCGAAGCTCTCCAGCCCGTTGCAGTGGTCGCCGTGCAGGTGCGTGATGATCACGTCCTGGATCTTCGTCTGCGGGACGTCCCACCCGGACTTGTCGCTCGCCTCGCGGATGGCGCGGTGGATGAGGTCCGGGCAGTCGAGCAGGACGTACCGCTCGCCGGACTCGGGATCGTCCGTCCGGATCAGCGCGCTGGCGCCGAAGCTCGTCGCGGTGAACGCGTCGCCGATGCCCAGGATGAGTGCGCGCATGCTCATGAATATCCGGGCCCCATCCTACTTCTCTCCGCCGCCAGACGCCGGGAAATTCTTCGCCCGCGTCAGATCGTCGTGCCGACGCGAGAAGACCGCCTCGTGCTCGCCCCGCGGCATCCGGCGCCGGTAGCCGAGCAGGTGGAAGATCTCGACGGTGAACCACCGCGCCACACGCGTGTCCGCGATGAGCACGCCCGGGTGCGCCGGGTCGCGCCGCACGCCGGGCAGCAGCGGCGCGAGGCGGTCCGCCCCGAGCACGCGGAGCAGCGCGCTGAGCCTGAGCCAGATCGCGCCGACGCGACGCACGACGAAGAACCCGTCCTCGCCCAGCGGCTGGTACAGCGGCATGAACACGCGCCCGCGCTGCGGCGCGAGCACGTCGCCCCGCCGGTCGCGCGCGAGCAGCTCGTCTTTCTCGATGCGCACGAAGTTCGCGTACCCCGGCGCCATCTCGAACGCGTCCCCGTCGCGCACGCGGTGGTGGTGGCGCAGCTCGACGAACCCGGGAAGCCCCCGCGACGCGTCCGCGAGCCGCGCCTCGTGCGCCGCGAGACCCCCCGGCACGTCCGCGCGCTCGACGATGCGCATCGAACACAGCATGACCCACACCGCGGACTCGTGGAGCCCGACGCTCTCCGGCGCGTCGTGCTGGCCCGCCTCGAACCCGAGCGAGACGAACCCGCGGTCGTTCACGTAATCCGGGAGCGTCCCGTTGAGCACCTCCTCCAGCCCGATCACCACGGGCGTGCCGAAGCGGCGCGCGTGCTCGCGGTTGGGCAGGCGGTCCTCCATCACCACGAACGGCGCGCTGTCCGAGCTCGTCGTGTGCATGTCCAGCACCGCGGAGCCCGCCGACGCGTCCGCGAACGCGCCCTCGAGGGCCGCGTGCAGCTCGTGCATCTCCTCGAACTCGTGCCCCGCCTCGCGGATGGGGTCCCCCTTGGCGCGCAGCCGATCGAGGCGGTCGGGGGTCCACAGCCGGTTCAGGTCCGCCGCGCGGTAGCGCACGCCGCTCGCCAACGCCGTGACGTTCCCGCGCAGCCCGATCAGCGCGCCGCGCATCGGGACCTTGTGTTCTCCGATCGCGTCGAGCACGCGCCGCACGGCGAAGACGCCGGACGGCTCGTTCCCGTGCTGCCCCGCGACGCACACGAGCGTCGCGCCGGCGCGGGGCGAGCCGGCGCGGCCGATCTCGCGCGCCGCGAACGTGGACACGGCGTCCGCCCCCTCGGGGGGGCTCGACGCGTGCTGCTCCGGGTCGTCCACCAGTCCGTGCACCGCCCGTTAGTCCTCCGCGAGATACTGCTCGAGGAGCGGCGCCGCGATCTCCACGTAGTCGTGCTCGGTGATGATCCCCACCAGCTGCCCCTCGCTCACCACGGGCAGCGCGCCGATCTTGTGGCGGCGCATCAGCCGCATCGCGTCCAGCGTGCTCGTCTCCGGGCTCACCGTCACCGGGTCCGCGATCATCACCTCGCTCACCGGGATCGATTCGCGCCGGTCGCGCGACGTCAGCCGGCGCAGGATCCCCCGGTGCGAGACGATGCCCACCAGCCGGTGCTCGTCGTCCTCCACCGGGATGTGCCGCAGGTGACGCCACTCCATGAGCGACGCCGCGAGGTCGATCACGTCCGTGTCCCGCACCGTGAAGAGGTCGCGGGTCATGAACTGCCCCACCGTGCGCACGTGGTCCCGGTCGCGCACGATCGACGAGCTCGTGAGCACGTCCCACTCCGAGACCGGATCGCCCGTCGCCTGGTTCGCGATCAGGTGCGACGTCAGGCACGTCATCCGCTCGTCCGCCCCGGTCGGGATCGAGCCGTCGCCCTTGAGCGCCTCGTTGGACTCAACGAGCCACTGCGCCCCCGTCATCATCGAGCGCACGCGGTCCTCGATCACGCCCATGTACCGGTCGATGTCCGAAGCGTCGATCCCGCAGGCCTTCAGGCCCTCGCGCGCCACCGGCACGCACTCGACCAGCAGCAGCTCCCGCGCCGGCACGTGCCCCGAGCTGAACCACTTGAGCTGCGCCTCCATCCCGCGCACGGCCGATTCGTGGAAGTTGCTCGCCGCGTCCTCGAAGTTCATCGCTCTGCTCATGTCGCCGTGCATGTCCGCGACGCCGCGCATGAGGCCGAACCACAGCGCCGCGTTGGCGACCTCGTCGACGGGCGTCGGCCCGGAGGGGAGCACGCGGTTCTCGATGCGCAGGTGCGGGAGGCCGTTGTCCGAGATGCCGTAGCACGCCCGGTTCCAGCGGTAGACCGTCCCGTTGTGGAGCCGCAGGCACGCGAGCTTGGGCGCCTCGCCCGCCTCGACGCGCTCGACCGGGTCCTCGCCAGGCTCGTCCACGAACAGCGTCCGGAACCGCGCCACGTCCTCCTGGAAGATCTCGAGCACGGACTCCTTCACCCAGCTCGTCCCGAAGCTCACCCGCGGCTTGAACTCGCGCAGGTCGCGGCTCTGGGCGCGGGTGTCGATGGACTGCTGGAACAGCGCGATCCGCGTCTCGCGCCACAGCCGCTTGCCGAAGAGCATCGGCGAGTTCACGCTCGCGCACATCACCGGCGCCGTCACGGCCTGCGCCACGTTGTACTTGTGCGCGAACTCCTCCGCGCTCACCTGGAAGTGCACCTGGAAGCTCGTGTTGCACGACTCGAGCATCACCGAGTCGTGCGTGATCGACAGCTCGTCGACCCCCGTGATCCGCAGGTCGTACGGGCCCCCGCGCAGGCGGTTGAGCGCCTCGTTGAGCGCGAAGTAGCGGGGGCGGTCCGTGATGTTCGCCGTCGTGAGGTCCTTCTTCTCGATCGTCGGCAGGATGCCCACGAGCGCGACGTGCACGCCCATCCGGTCCGCCGCCTCGTACGCCTTCTCGAGCAGCGTCGTGATCTGCGTCTCCATGTCGCGCAGGCACGAGCCCTCGAACGTGTGCGGGTCCGCGTTGAACTCCACGTTGAACTTCGCGAGCTCCGTCGTGAAGTGCTCGTCGTTCACGACCTCCAAAAACGCGTCGCTCACGCACGCCGGCCGCCAGCTCTTGTCGACCAGGAACATCTCCTGCTCGGCCCCGATGCGGCTCACGCCGGATTCGATCATCCCCCGCTCGAGCATCATCTTGAGCGCCTGCAGGTCGCGGAGCAGACCCTTCATAAAGGTCCGGGCCCGCTCGCCCTGGTCGCCCAGTTGTACGTCCGTCTGACCCACGCGAGCCTCCAGCTTCGGCCACGCCCCCGACGCCCTCGGTCCCCGGAATCGGAACCCGCACGCGCGAACCCGCCCCAAGCCTACCCCCATCGATCCCGGGCCGAAAGCAGGAAATCCACGGATTCCCGCGACCGTTTCACGCCCCGAGCGAACCCGCCACCGTGTCCAGGAAACGTCCGAGAATGCGCGCCGTCACGGGCGTCGGGCGCAGGGACCCCTTCAAACCGTCAAACTCGTTGTCGTCCGGGATGTAGTGCCGGTGCGTCTCCAGCCGCTCCACGAGCCGCTCCGGCGTCATCTCCGCGTGGAACTGCGTCCCGTACACCAGCCGCCCCTCCAGCTTGAACGCCTGGTTGCGGCACACGCCGTTATACGCGAGCTCCACCGCCCCCTCGGGCAGCTCCGTCACCAGGTCGTGGTGGCCCACCAGCGCGTCGAACACCGTCTCGCCCAGCGTGCCGAAGACCCGGTCGCGCTCGCCCGCCTCCGTCAGGCGGATCTCCGCCACGCCCACCTCCGCACGGTCGTGGTCGGTCACCACCTCACCGCCCAGCGTCCGCGCGATGAACTGGTGCCCGTAGCACGAGCCGAACAGCGGGGTGCCCGCGTCCACCATCTTCCTCGTCAGCAGCTCCAGCGCGTCGTCGTAGTGGTAGCGCTCCGTGACCGAGTGGTCCCCCGCCCCGCCCATAATCACCGCGTCCGCGCGCGCCACCCGCTCCCACACCGGCACGTCCTCGAGCACCACGTTTACCCGGTCCACGCGCGAGAGGTCCAGGTCGAAGTGGTCCATCATGCACGCCAGCTCGTGCTCCGCGCAGCTCGGCTCGTCGCGCACCTGGATCAGCAGGAGCCGCAGGGACGACGCGTGGGCGCTCATTCGATCGGCTCCGCGCCGAGCTCGACCGACACCGTCCGCACCTCGCCCGACCGGCTCACCGTCACGTCCACCGTGTTCCCGCGCCGGTAGTCGCGCAGGAGCCGCTGCAGCTCCGCCACGCTCGTCACGGGCTTGTTGTCGATCGCGAGGATGATGTCGCGGATCTCCGCGTCCCCGTCGCCGATCTCACGCACCCCCTGGATCCCCGCCTGGTCCGCGCCCGTCCCCGGGAAGACCGAACGAACGATCACCCCCGTCCGGATCCCGTTCCGGCGCGCCACCTCGTCCCGGATCGTCAGGATCCCCATCGTCGGCCACTGCACCTCTTTGTTCTCGATGAGCTGGGGCACCACCGCCTTGAGCACGTCCACCGGGATCGCGAACCCGATCCCGGCACTGGAGCGCGACGTGCTCTTGATCTGCGTGTTCACGCCGATCAGCCGGCCCGCCGAATCGATCAGCGGCCCGCCCGAGTTCCCCGGGTTGATCGCCGCGTCCGTCTGGATGACGTCGTAGATCTGCGCGCCGCTCAGCGCCTCGATGTCCCGCCCCAGCGCCGAGATGATGCCCTTGGTGAGCGTCGAGTCGAGCCCGAAGGGGTTGCCGATCGCGAGCACGTCCTGCCCCACGCGCAGGTCGCCCGAGGTCCCCAGCGCGATCGGGCTCAGGCCGACGCCCTCCGGGTCGATCCGGAGCACCGCGATGTCGCGGTCGATGTAGTACCCCACCACCTGCGCCTCGCGCGTCATCCCGTTGCTGAACGAGACGACGACGTGGTCCGCCAGGTCCACCCGCGTCTGCCCGCGCCGCACGAAGTACCGGCCCACGACGTGGAAATTGGTCACGATGTGCCCGTCGCGGTCCCACACGAAGCCCGAGCCGCCCCCCTCGACCGCCCGCTCCTGCATCATCATCCGGCCCGTGCGCACCAGCTCGCGCGTGTACGTCTGGATGTTCACCACCGAGGGCGAGGTCCGCTCGAAGAGCTCCACCGTCGCCAGCTCGCCCGTCGTGAGCGACCCGCTCGTCTCGGCCTCCCGCGCGGCGCTGCCGACCGCCGCCGGCTCGAGGTTCGCCCACACGAGCCCGCCGATCAGGCCAATCGCGACGAGCCCGAGCGTGACGAGAACGTTGGCGTACGGGTTGAAGCTGCTGATTCTCATGCTCATGGTCGGGCCTCCGAGCCTCGTGTCATGCGCGTCGATCTCCAAAGCATACGGTTGTACGGGCGGAGAGGCCCGGGGTTGGCACCGGAAGGCGACTGTCTAAACAAGCGAACGCAACGCCGGCCCGATCTCGGGGTGCTCAAACGTGAACCCTTCCTCGATCAGGCGCCGGGAGACGCAATATCGCCCGTACAGCGCGAGCTCCGGGTCCGCCCGCATCACCAGCGGGGCGCCGAGTCGCACCATCCACCCGAAGGCGGGCAGGCCGATCGGCATCTTCATCGCGCGACGCAGCTCGCGCATGAACTCGGCGTTCGAGACGGGGTTCGGTGCGGTCGCGATGTAGACGCCGCTCATCGAATCGTCGTCGATGGCGCACAGGAAGAGACGATCCATGTCCCGCTCGTGGATCCAGCTGATCCCCTGCTCGCCCGAGCCGACCGTGCCGCCGAGCCCGAGACGGGTGAGCGACATCAGGCGTTGCAACGCGCCGCCGCCCTTCCCGAGCACGAAGCTCGTCCGCAGGACAACGCCCCGCGTCCCGGCGGGCTTCGCCGCCACAAACGCCGATTCCCAGGCCCGCCCCACGTCCGGCGCAAGCCCGTGCCCGAAGGTCGAGCCCTCGTCGATCCTCACGTCCTTCGGCGGATCGCCGTAAATGTGCGCCGTGCTCATCTGCACCCAGACCCGCGGCTCCACGCCGAGCGATCGGCACCCCTCGCCGAGCACGCGCGTCGAGTCGACGCGCGAGCGGAGGATCTCGTCGACATGATCGGGCGTCTTCACGCAGTCCACCGACCGGCCGGCGATATTCACGATCGCGTCGATGCGGGGCAACTCGTCCGCCCATCGACCGATCGTCCGGCCGTCCCACGTCAGAAATCGGATGCCATCGGCCTCACGCGAGACGCCGCGAGTCAGCACAACCACCTCGTCGCCCCTTGCGCGGAGAGCTTGAGCAAGGTTCGTGCCGAGAAACCCACTTCCCCCCGCGATCAGCACGCGTCGTTTCTGGCTGGTTTCCGTCATGCCCCATTCTTGGCACGCTCAGCCGACCATTCCCGGACGCACGCATCCGAGCGACGCGGGCCCCCGAACACCTCGCACGACCCGAATCCCGCCTTTTTCCGGCCCTTTCGCCCGAAAGAGCCGCCCCCCGGAATAAGATCCACCCACCAGGGGTCCGTCCAATGACGGGCGCGACGGACGCGCCGCAGACGGCCCCGCTCGGAGGACCAGCGAACGATGATCAACCGCGTCGCACTCGCCATCGTCGGCGTCTCGCTCGGCATGAGCCTCGCCGTGTTCGTCCGGTCACTCCCCACGCCGACGCCCGACGGATACACCATGACCAACGTCTCACACACCAACGCGCGCACCACGTCCGAGTCCGGACACGACGTCACGCCCCTCACCCCCCAGCAGGTCGAGGAACTCGCGAAGGACCTCTCACCCGAGGACCGCGAGATCGTCCTGAACAAGGGCACCGAGAAACCCTTCTGCGGCACGCTCATCGACAACAAGAAGGAAGGGCGCTACTGCTGCCGCCTCTGCGCGCTGCCGCTCTTCAGCTCGGATTCCAAGTTCACCTCCGGCACCGGCTGGCCCAGCTTCTTCCAGCCGGTGGACAAGGACCACATCTCCCTGGAGCGCGACAACTCTTTCGGCATGCGGCGCATCGAGATCCTCTGCGCCCGCTGCGACGCGCACCTTGGGCACGTCTTCGACGACGGCCCCGCCCCCACGGGCCTGCGCTTTTGCGTGAACTCCGCGTCGCTCCAGTTCGTCGAGAAGGGCGCCGAGCCGCCCCTCGAGACCGTCGCCGCCGAGACCGAGTACGCCTACTTCGCCGGCGGCTGCTTCTGGGGCGTCGAGGACCGATTCGCCCAGCTCCCCGGCGTGCTCGATGCCGTGAGCGGCTACATGGGCGGCAACGTCACGAACCCGACCTACAAGCAGGTCTGCTCCGGCTACACGGGCCACGCCGAGGCCGTCCGCGTCCGCTTCGACCCCGAGCAGATCACCTACGGCGAGCTGCTCGACTGGTTCTTCAAGTTCCACGACCCCACCCAGCTCAACCGCCAGGGCCCCGATTTCGGGACGCAGTACCGCAGCGCCCTCTTCCCCGCCACCCCCGAGCAGGAGCGGGCCGCGGTGGCCTTCATCGCCGAGACCGACGCCTCCGACCGCTTCAAAAAGAAGATCGCGACCACGATCGAGGACTACGCGACCTTCTACGAGGCCGAGGAGTACCACCAGGACTACCACGCCAAGCACGGCGGCTCCTGCCCGCTGCCGACGTTTGAGGAGTAGGGGATTCCCTCCCCCCAGAATCGATGTAGCCTTTTCGCAGCAAAGGGTTTAGATTCAAAAAATAAGCTGTGCGAACCCGATGGTTTCCCCGTAGTCTGACCTCTCAGACACATCCCACCGAAGGAGACGCATCATGCTTCGCACCGCCCTTCTCGCGTCCGCCGTGCTCGTGCCCGCCTCGCTCACGCCCGCGCAGTTCTTCCCCATCCCGGGCGAGCCGCTCGCGCTGGACCCGGGCGACGTCCTCGTGACCCGGGTCGGACGCGACGACTTCGGCCCGCAGGTGATCCACTTCTCGGAAGAGAACATGAACGGCCGGCTGCTCACCTTCGGCGACGCGGTCACGCTCCCCGCGAAGTTCGCCGTGCCGACCTCCACGGGCGAGCTCTTCGTCTCCAACGGCACGCTCTTCAAGAACCCATCCGTCCGGCGCATCAACGTCGAGACGGGCGAGGCGGTCCAGCTCTTCACGCCCGACATCCTGCTCACGGGCATGGCCTACGACGAGCAGCGCGACATCCTCTGGTGCACCATGCTCGCGCCCTACGTCGGCACGCAGCTCTTCGCCTTCGGGCCTGATTCCGTCGGCGTCCCCGAGCTCATCGCGAGCACCCTCGTCTTCAACGACGGCTTCACACCCGAGGACACCCTCAACCACCTCACCGAGCTCGCCCTCGACGGCGAGGGCAACCTCTACTTCGTCGTCAAGCCCTTCCTCAACAACTCGCTCAACGGCAACGACCGCATCGCGCGCATCGACGCCGAGACCGGCGAGCTGAGCTACGTCGCGGACGAGAACGGCCTGCTCTTCCAGCTCCCCGAGGGCATCGACGCGATGATCGCCATGCCCGACGGCACCCTCGTCGTGAACTCCTCGCCCCACCACATCACGCACCTTGAGTCGAGCGTCTTCGCGATCGACACCGAGGGCGAGGTCACCCTCCTCTTCGACTACAAAGACCGCTTCCCCTTCACCGGCAACCTGAGCCAGCGGATGCTCGCCGTCGAATCCGAGGACACCTTCCTCTTCCCCTTCAGCCCCTTCGGCGACCTCTCCGAGACCATCTGCCGCTACTCCTTCTCGACGAACGAGATCGAGACCGCCGTCTTCTTCGAAAACGGCTACCAGGGTCGCGGCAGCATCGAGAGCATGTGGGCCGTCCCCCAGCAGTCCGGCGAGCCGGTCCTGCTCGCCTCCGAGGCCGGCGGAAAAACAACCGTCCGCCCGGACACGAAGGCCTACCCGAAGATGATCAAGGCCATGCTCAAGGCGATCAAAAAGGCGGAAAAGGAAGCCGCGAGGCTGGCAAAGATCGCCGAACGCGAGGCGAAGCGCCAGGCGAAGCTGGCGGAGAAGGCGGTTGATCGGCTTCCGGGGTGGCGGAACTAAGAAATCCACTGGGATATCGCCGCGATTCGACAGTAGCTTATGCGGCGATGAATACCACATACGCTTCGCCGTCAAGGACATCGGGCATTGCCGTCACGAGTCTCGTGCTCGGGATCCTCTGCCTGTGCGTCTCCCCGCTCGCGCCCTTCGCGCTGCTCTTTGGAGTGCTGGCGCTGGTGGGCATCAGCAAAGCACGCGGCGCGGTCGGCGGCAACGGGTTGGCCGTGTCCGGTGTCATTCTCGGCTCGGTCGGCTGCCTCATCCTTGTCGGCAGCTTCTTCTTCATCGCGTCGATCGGCCGCGCCGCGCGAAGCATGAAGCAGCCGATCACCGCGAGCATCCCGCCCTACGAAACGTTCTACGGCGAGAGCGCGAGGGGCTCCGGCTTCCACTTCGAGTGGAACGGCGAGCGGTTCATCGCGTGCTCGAAACACCAGTTCGACGGCGCGACGCCGCGCTCGATGATGCACCTCGATTTCGAGGACTCGATCACGATCATCGAGCAGGCCCACGCCTTCCGGGACGTTCAGATCCTGAGGTACGAGTCATCGGAACTCGACGAGGTCGAGCCGCTTGTCTACGACCCCGACGCGGAGATCGGCTTCGGAGAGCCGATGGTGATCCTCTTCGACGGCCGACAGATCGTCGGCCATATGCGCGGCACATCACGCGGCGGGGACGGCCTCGTCTCCATGAAACTGCAGGACGAGACGGTCGACCTCCAGGGATCGAGCGGCGCGCCGGTCGTGAGCGGCAAGACCGGGACGGTCGTCGGCGTGATGATCGCCAAGGACCTGTTCCTCACCTATTTCCAGCCGCTGGACCTGCCTCGGTCGCTTCTCGTGGGTGATCAGGCAGACGAGTAGCGGTCGGTTGCGATCTTTTCAGTGCGCATGGAGCAACGGGTAAGTCTCCCTGATGAGAAAGGGAACCGACTATTCTTGTCCGGCATGCTGGTGGCAACCATCCTCTCTGTGTGTTCGCTGCTGTTGGGAACCCCATTCATTGTGCGGCGCGGAAGCCGGCCGAACTCCATCGCGTTCGTGCTGAGCGTTCTCGTCACCATCCCCCTTGTTGTTCTCTTTCTGATGAGACGCGCGGGTGCCTCAACGCTTCTCCAGTACAACGCCGGCGACGAGGAACTCATGCGCTGGTTCGATCTCTGGGGCGGCCTGTGGCCTTTCTTCGTGCTCGGACTGCTCGCGGCCGGGCTGGTATCGATTGGGCTCGTGATCGTTCTGCTCACCAAAGCGTCGGGTGAAGGCGAACGCAAGCTCCTGGTCCTGAAGCTCACGCACTGCGTGAGCGTGATGGCGCAGGCTTTCTTTGTCCTCTGGATCGTGGTCATGAACTTTCCGAGTGTGTAATTCGACACTCGGATTCGAGGCTCAGAGAACGAGGACCACGACCACCACGATCGTCACCTGCACGAGCACACACCAGACCGTGAGTTGAAGCGCCCCGCGAGACTTGAGTCGCTCGATCCACCGCTTCGGGCCGACAACCTTCTCGCAGCCGAGCAGCAGGAAGAGGTTCGCGACCACCCCGAACGCGAACATGCCGATCGCCGCGCCGAGGTCGAGCCCGCGCGGTCCGCGGTGGGCGATCAAGGCGATCCCGACCAGTCCGGTGTGGAGTGCGAGCCCAGCCACCAACAGGACGGTGCCGATCAGAAACCGGTCGAGAACGTGCGGCTGTTTGGACTCTGGTTGGATCGTGCCGTCGCCCGGGGCACTGTTTGACCGCTCAATCATTGCCGCTACACTATGCGGCTCGGCGGATCCGCCACGTTTCCCCGATAGCTCAATGGTAGAGCNNGCGAGCGGCTGTTAACCGCTAGGTTGTAGGTTCGAGTCCTACTCGGGGAGCTTTCGCCTCTGGCTGAGACCCGCTCGGGTTTCGCGCAAGGCCGCCACGCCGTGATTCCGGCGTACCATCCACACCCGATGGCCCTCCTCCTCTTCTTCCTGTTCATCGCCCTGGGCGTCTCGTTCCTCTGCTCCATGCTCGAGGCGACCCTGCTCAGTGTCCCGCGGTCGCACGTCGCGCTGATGCGCGAGCGGGGTGGGCGGGCCGGGGAGTGGCTTTTCGAGATGAAGCGGGATATCGACCGCCCCCTCGCCGCGATCCTCNNTCACCCTCAACACCTTCGCCCACACCATCGGCGCCGCCGGCGTCGGGGCGCAGGCGGCCAAGATCTGGGGCGACGCGTGGGTCACGGCGGTCAGCGTTATCGTCACCCTCCTCATCCTGCTCTTCTCCGAGATCATCCCCAAGACGCTCGGATCGGTGCACGCCAAGGCCCTCGCGCCCTTCGTGGCGTGGACGATCCACATCCTCGTCCTCGCCCTCGCGCCCATCGTCGTGGTCTGCAACTGGACCTCCCGGGTCTTTTCCGGCTCGAAGCAATCCACCCCGAAGCTGAGCCGCGAGGAGATCCGCTCGATCGCGAACCTCGCGGAACTCGACGGCGCCCTGGACAAACCCGAATCGGACATGCTCCGCAACCTCATCACCCTCTCGGACATCCCCGTCGAGCAGGTGATGACCCCGCGGACCGTCGTCGCCCGCCTCCAGGCGGACCAGACGGTCGCGGAGGTCACCACGGGCGAGCCCCCGCGGTTCGCCCGCCTGCCCGTGATCGAGGGCTCGATCGACGAGGTCATCGGCTACGTCCACCGCCACGCCCTTTTCACCGCCCTGAGCGAGGGACGCGGGGACGCGCCCCTCCGCGAGCTCGCCCGCCCCCTCCACGCCGTGCCCGAGTCCGCGAGCCTGCTCAAGGTCCTCCGCACCTTTCTCGCCCGCCACGAGCAGTTCTTCCTCGTGGTGGACGAGTTCGGCGGCTCGGTGGGCGTCGTGACCCTCGAGGACGTCCTGGAGGCCCTCCTGGGGGCCGAGATCGTCGATGAGACGGACGAGGCCATCGATATGCGAGAAGTGGCTCGCCCCTCGCGTATCAAACCGGACAAATCCGCATGAAACGGGCTGCGACGCTCTCGCGCCGCCGCCCGTCGTACCGGGAGCGGTACTAAGGATTGGGAAGAAACGTGCGGCCTCAGGGTTGAGGGAGAGACGTCAGAACGAAGTCCTGTCCCCCGCGTGCGTGGCACCCGTAGCACCCCGGGACACCGTTGCCGATAGCGACCGGGTCGGAGCCGTCCTCGACGCTGGTGACCTCGTACCAGAACCACCCTTCTCCGGCCTTCGAATCCTCGCCGGTCTTGGTCGAGACCGCCCAGCCGGCGAGCGTTCCGTCGTCGTCGAACATTTCCTTCACGGCCGTCGCGCCCTCGGGGTGCGCCCGGTGACCCGCGCGCATCGATTCCGCGAGCGTGTCGTTCATGAAGACGCGCACCGGTTTTCCGAAGTTGGTGTGCGGTCCGGCTGATGGGTGCATCGCGCGCTCTTTCGTCTCCCACGCGCGGTACCGACCGCCCCGCAGGTAGTCAAAGAGTTCCGATTGATCCACGGGCACATCCGTTCCCGCAATCGCGGCCGGCGTGGAAGACGTGGCCCGCCACGTCTCGTCGCGCGAGGACTGATCGAATTGGAGCGTTCCGCCCCCGGTCGCACCGTCGCCCATCCCGAGGGTCTTCGGGCGGGTGGCGCGGTCCTCCGGGGTGTGCCGGGCGTTCTTCGCGGCCCGCAGCACGGGGTAGTACTGCGTGAACACGAAGTCGTCCTGTGCGCTGGCCTCGTGGCACGCGTTGCAGCTGGCCGCCGGGAAGGGCTCGGCCGACGCTTTCAGCGGGCCGGCGGGATCGTCGTGATTCGTGAAACTGAAATACGCCCAGTTGCCGGGCTCGTCCGGGAAGTGTTGTTCGCTCTTGATCGTGGCTTCGAGCCCGATGAACTCGCCCTGGAAATAGCCGTTGCCCGAGACCGCCCGCTTGCTCCCGACGCTGACCAGTTCCTTGACGAGGATCGTCCCCTCACGCCACACGCCGGTCTCGAGGTAGTGCTCGTAGCTCGCCGGATCGATGTACACGTTGTGGTGTTCCGGGAACGCCGCCTTGCCGTTGTTCATGTCGTTGGGCGTGACGGGCGTACCGACGTACACCCACGTCCGATAGCCGGTCGGGCGTGCGAGCTCGCCGCCGGCGGTCAGCGAGTACGCGCGATCCTGTTGCGACGCGATCCTGTTCGCGCTTGTGGCCAGCGAGGCGCAGCCGGCGCAAGCAACGACTGCGAGCAGGAGACCGGTGGTTTTTCGAGTGGTCAGATTCATGAGTATTCTCCGTTGGCAGGCGGGATCGACGCGACGCGCGACGGTCAGCGTTCTCGACTCCTACCATGTCCCGTGACCTGGAAGACGCGATCCCTTCGGCGCGACTGTGAATTCCGCCGCATCCGGCGGGGATCCGCCTGAGACGGCGGATTCGCGTGCTAGAATCGGGGAGGGAAGTTCGAATCCGGAACAGGTCCGAAAGTGTCCCATGTCTTTCAAACCCAGTTCAATCGACGCGCTGGTGACGACGTTCGAGCCGCAGACGCTCCTCGACACGGTGGCCCCGCGCCTGAGCGAACTGCAGGGCTCGTCTCGAATCGGTTTGGCGACGCTCGAGTCCGCGAGGCAGAGTTTCCGCAACATCGCGATCTGGGACCGGGAAGACGCGTCGAATCTTCGTGGGACGTCGTTCAGCGCACGCGGCGCCGCGGCGGGGTGGGTGTGCGAATACTCATGCCCGATCGTCGGCAAGACCATCCGGGACATGGAGCGCTACCCGGTCACGTACTCCTACCTGATCCGCGAGCGGTTCCACGCCAACGCGATCATCCCGATGGACCTCGGCCCCTTCGGCCGGTGCGTGCTGTACTCGCTCGCACGGACCGCCGGCGCGTTCGACCAGTCGTCGGTATCCGTCGCGCTGCGTGTCCGTGAGATCCTCCAGCCCGCGATCCGGGCCCATCTGGCCGCACGCGACTTCATGGAGGGATCCACGGGCGACGGTGCGGCCCCCACTACCCGGCAGGGGACGGAGGCCCCGCCAGAGCGTCCGCAGACCCTCGACGACGTGCAGGCGATGCACATCCGGAATGTCCTCACCATGACCAACGGCCTGATCGAGGGTCCACGGGGGGCGGCCTCGATCCTGGGCCTCCGCCCGAGCACCCTCCGCAACCGGATGAAGCGTCTGGGCGTCGAGCGTCCGGGCCCGCTCGATCACCCCGGGCGTTGACAGATCGGGGCTATCTCGCTACTTTTCCCCGTTCCCCCCTGAACGCCAGAGGCCCGCGATGAAAAAAGAAACCCATCCCGAGTACTACCCCTCCTGCAAGGTCTACTACAACGGCGAGG